GTAGTAGTCGTCGTCGTCGTAGCAGTTGAGTTGTAGCAGTAGTAGTAATAATGGTAGTAATAGTAGCAGTAGTAGTAGTCGTCGTCGTAGTAGCAGTAGCAGCAGTAGTAGCAGTAGTAGTAATAGTAGTAGTAGTAGTAGTAGTAGTAGTAGTGGTCGTAGTGGTAGTACTGGTAGTAGTGGTAGTAGTGGTAGTAGTAGCAGCAGCAGTAGCAGCAGCACTAGCAGTAGCAGTCGTAGTAGCAGTAGTAGCAGTAGTAGTAGTAGTAGCAGTAGTAGTAGTAGTAGTAGTAGTATAGTTGTTGTTGTTGTGGTAGTAGTTGTCGTGGTAGTGGTAGTAGTAGTAGTAGTAGTAGTAGTAGTAGTAGTAAGTCGTAGTCATAGTAACACAATGATAAATAAGTTTTTAATTGCATTGCTTGCCAGCCACACTTTTCGAAAGCAATGTGAACAGCTACGGAACTCAACCGTGCCAAAACTGCACCGCTGCCGCTAACGTCCGGCCACGGACTGCCTCCTCGTCTTCTTTCAAAGTTCTTTCGGCTGCCTGCAACCTGCCTGTGACAACATCCAGCAAAGCCTCAGCACGGCAGCATGCTGCAAAATGTAGCGGCAGGCGTACAAACGCCTCTTCAACAGAATCGCTCAGAAATGGGCGCGCTGTTGGGCGAGAAGCTGCTTCTGCCACTCGTTTTGTGTCCGCAGGCATCTGGCAAGTGCGTCATCAAACTAACTCAACACGATCTCTAAAAGCACCAAGACAAGGATGATGGGGTGCAGACTTGGATTTGAAGGCGATGCGCATGGTTTGCTTGCCCTGCGTGTCATTGACTCATTGCTTCCACTGAGATTCTACCATTATCATATCTTGTCGATCGTTGCCGTCGTGATGTCACAGCTTGCAGCATGGCAACTCTGGTGACAAAGATCTACATCTGTGTCTGGCCTCTGTTCCTCCCAGCTTCAACACTTCAGCACTTATCACTTCCTTCTCCTGTTCAAAGAGTCTCTGCCGCAGCAGCATGTCTTGCTGCAACTGCCGTGCTGCCGGCCTCACCGTCACCAGCGCCCGCGACCATTGCATCGCAGTATGAATGGTAAGTCAGAGCCTCAGACCAACTGATCACAAACTTGGCCTTGGGCTGGCCTTGTGCGGTATAAAGACCGGAGAAGTCGATGCAAGCGCCCCCTTGCGGGTCCGACATGTCGGAAAAGTGTCTCAGGCAGCGACAGACGCATTGTCGTCTTCTGGGTGCGCTGAAACTCTTCTGGCGAACGAGCAGAGCTGAAGTAGCAGCAAGCCTGCAACCCTTCAGCAATCAGCAATCCACCTTCCGAAATCGGTGTCCAGCTTGAGGTCCAGAACGACATCATTACCGTTTGCCTGGGTGGGTCAAGGTTGAACTTCACCGCAGCAGCACAACTCGTTCCGGATAGCTTAGACAGAAGCTCCAACAGCGGCATTTCCGAGCGGTGAAGGAGGTGAAACTGCCCCGACGCGCTGCTCCTGTGCGCAAGAGCATCTGCTGACAATACAGCAAGCAGTATTTTGTGCGCTTCTCGTCATGGCCTGGCCACCTTTAAGGACCGCAATGAGGAACTCCAAGAAGGCAGGGGCGGCTGTGTTCATGTCCTTTGTTGCATAGGCCTGGCAAGCCCGGCTGAGATTTCAGCATAGCCGCCAGTCCGTAACCACCTGGTCTTCGAAAAACACACCTTTCCATTTTTTAGAGCCAACTCAGACTGTGACCGGACAGGGATCACCAAGCTTGACGCCACACGAGGCCCAAAGATTGTACAGGGACACTGCTGGGCTGAGGTTTCTGAACGCTTCTTTCGATGAAGGTTCCTGTCCTACCTGCAAGCTGTCTTGCACATTCGCGCTCTCCTGTTGACGTCCAGGTGTCTTGATCTTGGTGGCACATGTGCAGGGTCAGCTGGGCCTGTTTCCGATTGAAGTCCGTGAACGAAGAGCAGCTGAAGTCCGACTGGGACCGATCTTGGCACATCATACAAGTGCGAGGCAAAGTCCCGGGCTACTGCGAATGCTCGTGTAGGAAGGAACATTCTGAAGCGGGGAACAGGGAGCTGAAAAAGCATCCGACACTTTGCAGAAGCTACCAATACTTAGAACAAGAACAACACCTCGTAGTTCCTAAAGAACAAAAGCCCAAGCAACTCACACAAGTTTGGACATGACATGCGCGCACCGGCATGGAATTGCCACAGCATCCGCCCGTTTGTTGGTTTGTTGCTTTCGGCCTGTCTGTTTGTGTGGCGACGTGTTCTAGCTTCACCAAAACGAGTTTGCTTTTGATTCACACGCGTAGCTGGGGAAAAATTCGTCTCGGCCTCGGCCAAAGCGTCCTGAGTTGTTTGGGTTTTGCTCGCTTGGGTTTCGGAACACTTCGGGGTGCAGCCCCCCATGTGTAAACACGAGGCCTGCAGGGTTCAGAAAGGATCCGTAGAGTCGTAGAGGATCTGATCTCGATGGTACGATGCCAATCAAAGCAAGCTTGCGCGGTTGATAAAAACTGTTGGTTGGGGGAGGGGGGGCGCGGCGGCGTGATCCAAGCCAATGGAAACTCCATGAAACTCCCATCAAACTGTTTTTAAATTAACATCTGACTGAATCGGTCAAGATTTTTAGAGTGTTTCGGGTTTTGAAAGGCTTGGGAAACCCGTAAATCAAGAAAAGATAGCGCAAAAGCCAACAGATACACAACAAGAGCAATTTTCTAAGTCGATCAAGCTTGCCTCAAGGAACATGGTGCCAACAAGAACACAGCCGATACGAACCCTTTCCGAACCCATCGTTGTGTTTGCCAATGGGGGGAGGGCTGCCCCCCCCGACACCCCCCTCTCGTTCAAGCCGCGCAAACTTGTGGAACATGGTGCCAACAGCAACCCCTACGATCCTTGCCGAACCCATCGCTGTGTTTGCCAAGGGGGCTGCCCCCAACCCCCGCACTTTCTTCAGCCACGTGAGCTTGCTTTCAAGAACATCGTGCCATCAAGGAGAATTGCTTCGTGCGCCTAATTCGTATGTAATTTGAAACGTTTCAACGCCCGCCATGCTCCCAACTCCGCAACCCACCCCACCCCCCCCCCCCCCCCCCCCCGCCGTGCAAGCTTGCCTCATCTAGCTTCGGCGCCCATCGTTTGCAATGGGGACTGGGCACCCCCATCACAACCTACGAACTATCGAACCTTCGACCTCGCTTGGCAGAGGGAAGTTTGCTTGGTTGTGTGTTTTGGGGGAGGCTGGCGGGAGCGCGTGGCGACCCTGACCCCCTGATGTGCATGTGGGGGGGAGGGGGGATGGGTCTAGTAGTACTTCATCAGTACTACGAACTGCTCAAGTCTAGCGACTACAGTAACCGCTACCAACTAACCACGAACTAATAACGAGGTGAATAACGACTAACGACCAACGCAAGAGAACTACTACTACTAAAAGTACAACTAGCGACGTCCATCGACTTGCCACGAACAGCCCACTGCCATCTAGTAACCACGAACCAGGTCCTACTAACTACGACTACGAACTACTAACTACGAACTAAAAACTGCGAACTGCTAAATGCTAACTACTAAGTACGAATTCCTGTACCAACTACAAACGACTCTCTACTAACTGCTAACTTACTAATAAAGACTGACTACTGGCTGCTAACTACTGCACACTGGCTACTGACTACTACCTGCTAACCGCCGGCTGCTAACTACCAAGCTGGGGCCGAAGCTAAAGCCTGAACGCAGCTCTCGATCGGGCGTGCGAGGTGACGCCTCGATCAGACACTGTAACAGATCAGGATTGATGGAATCTTTAAGAAACTGTCAGCGAAGGTAAACAATCTGAAAAATACGAAGGCCCGAGCTTTTGGAGAATCCGTCGCATCAAACCTGACCCTCGAAGTACTGCGATGACGGAGCAAGCCATGGCCTCCAGCCATGACACAAGATCACCATTCAGGAAGCATCTGAAGATGAAAAGTTCTGAGTCACAAGCTAGCTTTGCTCTGCACACTTTGAGCTGAGTCCTTCCTCGCATACCCCGGTGGCCTAGACACCGTGTCAAGAACATGGTCAGTGGCAAGGTCGACACGCTACACCAAGAGGTCAGGCTTGTTGAAGTTCACACCTGCTGGTCGGAGAGGCTCCACGTGAACCGGACTGCGCAGAGGCGTTCAAGAACGCGGTAACGAGCTCTGCCTGGCAGGATCAATGGACGGCTGTACATGGGGGCTCAGGATGGTTCCAGGATATCTCGATCTCGACAACTCGAGGCTACTTGCTTCAGCACGGCTCAACCAACAAGCCAGAGAGGCCGGAGACAGTGTGGCCTTGCTCTCAGAAGAAACCACCTCACTCGGAAGAGCGATAGACCATGTTTTCTTGAAGCAGACACCCCCACGGGAAAACAAAACATGCTAGATAAAAGCGAAACTACGACGCAAGGGTTGAAACAAGAAAACTGAATAACACTCGTTGGAAAATTTTTTTCATGATATTTCTCAGGATGCTGAGGCTGCCACCACACCGCGCCCAAGCAGGTTTAATCCTGCACGGCAGGGCTCTTGCTTGACAGGGCGAATCTCGTCATTTTTGTCACGCAGACATCGCGAGCAAATCCAAACACTAATTCAAACTCGACAGTGGGACGTTCTGCGAGAGCACGCAGTCGCTGCAATGCTTTCTTGTCCTGCACACGGAAACAATAGCAAGCAAGTGCTAACCTTTGACTCCTGCAAGCGTTTCAAGCATCCCACACTGGATTGGACAACAACCGAGAAGAATCAAAGAATCAACACCGTGTGCTGGCCTCGACGGTTGCCGATTCGGTCAAAGCGCTGCAATCTGCTGCGCTTGCAAAGCAGATTGCCAGGGCCAGTTCCAGGAGTTGCCCCTGAGCAGGCAAACGCAAAGAGATCAAAATGTTTCCAACAGATTGATTGGCCTTGAGCAATCAGCTGTTGCAAAAAAAAGGTGTTGGCAAAAAGCATCGCAAATGGAGTAAACGTCCACATCGGGTCCAAGGCTGCAAAATCGGATGGCATGATGTCAGACACGTTCAAAAACTCCAAACAACTCAGCGGACGCATGCGGACGCTCGGACTCTGGTTCGATGTCCGGCGCCTCTACCATGTTTCATTCCAACTCCGCCATTGTCGCTTACTCGACCCGTACCCGAACCGGAGCCTTCCTGGAAAACGATGGATGTTGAAGTGCAGAAGCTGGCTGAGGGGCACACGACCATCGAGCCACCCAACAGAACAGGCTTTGAGGCAGTGGGTGTGGCCGTCGGCAGCAAGCCCAAGTACCTGGCTTGAAAACTGTTGTGCGTCGAAGCAAATCAAAGCATCTTGACTGCCACACCTCAACGCAGCGTATGCCGCGTCTTTTGGCTTTTTCCTTCAGAAGCATCGGGCTGGCGGCAAGCCAGAAATTGTGGTTGCAACTGAACTTTTGCTCAACTGCCACATAGAACTGAGCCATGCGCGCCCAACTCTCCGAGCGTTGATATGTGCTGTCTGCCTGAACACGATGCAAAAGGGTTCAACCTGGAACCTCATTCGACCTCTTTGCACAATGCAAACTGCGCAGCTGTGCACCATGACTGTGCTCTGGCCCAGAAGAGCCTCTCCAGAATCGAAAGCGCTGCCGAGCGTGGATTGAGTGTGATTGTCCCGGAATCGAAGCTGGCCTTTGTGGCACATTTTCGTGGATGCTTTGCCGGCAAACAATCTGAAACCAAATGGACAGTGTAGCACAGCTGCTTGGCCTGCGCAAGGTACAAACTCCCAACATCCTCATAAACCAGGTGGCCACCGAAGCTATCCGGCAAGATGTTGCCTTTGTCATCGAAGCCGACCTGTCAGATTTCTTGCTCAAGCCTCATTCCCTCCTTGTGCCGATGTTTTTTCTTGTCTTGTGTCAGGTAGCTTGTAGTCACAAGTGTTTCAAACCAGCTTGCTGCTGTATGAGTACTGTATGAAATGTCGTCAATGCTGTTGACCCTTTCGCCTTTCGTTTCGGCATGTTTGGCAACATGTTCCTGCATCATCCTGCATCCACAACGCCTCTCAACTCGGGAGCTGCGCTAGCACATGCGAGCTGCTAGCTACTAGCGCATGTCCCTGCATCCCTGCCTTGGATAAAGTGCTCTGATGGGAAAAGCCGCTCTTTGGCAAGCCGGACAAGTCTACCTGAACACAAAGCTTTCACAAGTTCTGCACTAAAGAAACTCGGACTCAGCTGCAAAGCAATCCCCACTCCGGCCTTCAAGTGCGGGTTGCCACCGGGGGCTCTCGGACTGAGACTAGGGGCTCTGGGACTGGCCTCTATTCTCGGGCTTGAAATTGGCTTGCCGCCAACCTGGCATCCATGCAAGCATTGGCAAGACCATGCAACGACAGACAGGTAAAGCTTTAACCCCGCCTGGGCGGTGCCCACATGCAAGCTGAGCAAGTCCCCGCTGTCCACCTTCAGCTGTGAGCCACTGGTATCCTGAAGGCAACAAGTTGCCACCAACTGCACCTTTTGACCATTTGGTCCGCGAACGGTGTGTTCCTGCCATCCGCAAGAGCAAATCACCCACTGGCCGACCCATACTTACATTCTACTCACATAGTGCTCGACACTGCCACAACCTAGTGTCAACACTTTTGGCCTCAACGCCGTTGGGGGCCTTGCCTTCAGCGTGATAGGACATCACGAACAACAGCCGGCTGGCGGAACATCATCCACCAGCTTGAGCAATTAAGGTGCGAACCATCACCAGGGCGCGCTGAACTGCTGGATGAAGTGCCCAAACCAGCGCCTCCCAAGTGACATCAAACACTCGGGCAAAACATGTTCTGGACCGAGCAATGGCGCCTCCTCGGCTGACCTAAAAGGCGTCACTCTCACCAACAACCGCGCATCGGTGGTGCTAAGATGCTTACCAAGTCAGGAGGATCGACATCCCCCTTCGGGGCAGCCACACCTCATGACGGACGCAGTCGATGTTTGTCGCTCTTAACATGAGAAGAATTTCGTTGAGCGATGTGGGCTAGTCCTAATGATTCCACGACACAGGCAAGCTTTCAAACGGTCGTAAGAAGTGCTGGTCGTGTCGTGTATAAACGGCCACTAGCAGCCAGCGGAGGTCCGAGAGCCCTTCACTTCACGAGAGTCCTCTCCGTCTCTCTCTTCACTTCACTTCACTTC